AATTAAAGTAAAAATGAGTTTTTATACATCTTAGAAGGGCTAACAAGAATGGCTGCCTTTTCGAAACGGCGACTCAAAATGAGGAAACCCTTCACTCAGGCCCAAATGTAGTGGGCATAAATTTGTGCCAGTGGGAACTGATGATGTCACCAGCTGGCACTGGTAAAAAGCCTTGGAGAAGCCTTCAAACAAGGAAAGGGGAGCCCGTAATTGCCAAAAATTGCTACCAGTGGTCCTGACCCCCCCGGGGGGGGGAAGCAATCTGGCAGCAATTTTTGACAATTAAAGGCTCCCCCCCTCTCAAGGCTCCCAGAGGCTTCCTCAAACAAAGAAGAGGCCTAAGGAGCATAGGAGCCTAAAATGGTGGTGGTGGGGAACAGGAAGTGTTTAATCAATTTAAATTACATTTTATCATGCGATGACATTTCTGATGACATTTCTTCCCACCACTGTTAATTTATACAAGAGGATTTTTGTCCTCAGTTGGTTATTTACCCAGAATGGTTAATATGAACTGTAGCTGACTCAGAATTGCCCGTTGGTCACCTGCGTGACTCACCAAGGAATCAAGTAGAACAAACAGCCAGAGGGAAGGTGGAATTGAAGCAATGGCTGAGGGAAGACACTGCAGAGAATTTAAAGAGGTAAATATTCACACCATTTCAACTTTTTAAGAACACAGGATGCTTGCCTTCTACTGATTCAGACTGCAACCGTATAAAACAACATCCTGTGTTCCAACTGTGACTGGCAGAAGCTCTCCAGAGAGTAAGGTGGAATTTTTTCCCCCTGGATTTACCCAAATACTAGATTTACGAAATACCCACCCAAATACTAAATGAAGCAAAATCAGTGTTTAGAAGGGGGTGCAAAATTTAACGAGTTTGGCAGGGAAAAGGTCTACTTCATCACTGGAAGTGGAAAAAATCTGGTGCCACTCTACCTAATGCTTAGAAATGCTTTCATCCATTAAAACATGAAGTCTCTAGAACTGAATCCATAAAACTAGAAATTCCTGTATCTTGAAGACACAGCTGAAAACAAACAGAGAAGATACATGCAATCATTCTGCAAACGCATCTGCCAAGACCCCTGCATGGTTCATTCCTGTTGTATTTGGGAATCTGCTACCTTCTGTTATTAACTCTATCCAGAATGAAACGAAAGGTCAAATTAAAACTGAAACAAAATGGTCCCAAAGGTGTCTTATGCATAATTTCTTCAAATTTAAAACTGCAATAAAAATGTGATTCTCTACTTTTAAAACAAAAACAAAGCTTCACTGTCCAACACAGCTATGCCTACTTTATCTGCAATAAAATGTTGCTAATATATATCTTGAGCAGCTCAGTGATCTCACCACTATTTTGCTGTATCTGTCTTGGTGTTGGGGGGGGCATACGGGAACAAAATGTAGAGGCCTGTTTAACTGCTGGTGGCAGGAGGTACCCAGATGTTTTTGTAGACCTGGCGGCTTCCTCTCTATTTTCTGCTGAAGAGCCCTCAACTGAGCAGCTGGTTCTTTAGATCTCTGCTTCAGTTCTTAGGCTGGATGGGATAGGATTCCAAATTTGAAGAGGCAACATGAAATAGGGTCACTAGCTCTTCAGTTGCTATCTGAAGGGTCTCGGGTTCCATCTTTTTGCATTTTCCTGGCCCTACACTTCTTGTGGTCTTAGGAATTGTACAGAAACATTATCCACTCGGGTTCCATCTTTTTGCATTTTCCTGGTCCTACACTTCTTGGAATTGTACAGCAACATAATCCGGCTTGCCACTGCCTGTGTATCTTCTCTGTGTATATTTATTTATACACATTCATATCCTGGCTTCCTTCTCAGGAGGCTCAATGACTGTGTAAGGTAGGGTTGGGTTACAGGAGACAAAATCATGGCCAAGCATGGAACTGAAGCCATGCCTTCTCAGTCTCAGTCAATGCTGCCCGTGTCTCTCTGTCTCCTTCTCCCTCTCTCGTGAACACAGACTGAGTCTCCTTCTCCCTCTCTCGTGAACACAGATTGATTTCCTTAGGACAGTGATGGTGAACCTATGGCATGCGTGCCACCCCTGGCACACGAAGCCCTTTCTTCTGGCATGCGACAAAACTTTGGAAGTGGCTGCAGCTGGGACTATGGCATGCGTGCCACCCCTGGCACAAACTTCCTGTCCGTCCCCATGATTCCCCCTTTAACTTCCTGCCTGTCCCCATGATTCCCCCTTTAACTTCCTATCTGTCCCCATGATTCCCCTTTAACTTCTTGTCCGTCCCCATGATTCCCCCTGAAACTGCCACATCCTGTTCTGGTTCTGGTTGGCATGGCAGCCACTGGTTTCTTCCCCACCCCCTCATTTTGGGCACTCGAACCAAAAAAGGTTTGCCTCCAATGCCTTAGGAGAATGAGAAAGGAGGATAGTGAATATGTGCTGAACATGTATTCCTCCCTGTCTAACCTATGTGTGACAGGCTCTTTCCTTCACATGGCCCCAGGGTAAATGCTCAGCAGAAAGGAAACAAGGAACAGAAATGTGTAGGAGGATAGAAATGATTCATCCCCACACATTCCTTATGCCTCCAGCTCATACCTCAAGGGTGGAGGATGCTGCAGGACCACAATACCCATCAGCTTGATCGGCAAAGCCAATGGTGAGGAAATATCGGAGAGGCAGTCCACCAGCATTTAAAGGTGCCACATACGCCACGGCTAGTTTATTCCCTTAACTTACGGTTGTCAGAGAAAGGGGCTGCAGGTCGCTTTCGTTGATATCGTCAAAAATAATCAATGCTTTTGAATAAATAAGTGAAATTAATCTTGAAGTTCTACTTTGGCATGCAAAACAAAGGGGACAAATATAAGAGGAAACAATCGCTCAGCAAAACATTTC